AGACGTGGGGCATCGCTCAGATCCTGGCGCGGTGACCGCAATAGCAGAACAAAGCGGGCCTTGTCGTTCAACTCTTGGCCCGGGTACCCTTAACAGATCGACCCGGCTCGAGAGATAAGACGTGGGAGCCTTAACATATCGATCCGTCGCGACTGGTTCACGACACCCTGATTTGTTAACGACATGTGATCTCGAGGATTCCATCAAATACTGTAGATACCATGACAATGAACACTCTAACAATCCGATCATGTAACTAAATATGTGTTTAAAATGTATAAAAACATGTTCTAAACGTGTTTTATGTTTGTTCATATTTGAAGCATGTGAGAAACATACTTTCAGACATCTGGAAATTATTTGGCAACACCTTAGCTGCCCCTATACGCAATACGCAATCCGGAGCGTATCGATACGGGGCTCAACACGTAGATCCAATACGTAGATATGGCTGCATACATTCGCCAATACGTAGGCCAACACGTACAACATCCACGCTCGATACGCAATACGTGGGGCGGCCTGCGATACGCAGTCCAAAAAGCTCAATACGTAGCCCAATGCGGAGCCCAATACGTAGCCCCCCGTCGTTGTTGCCACCGCCGCCGTCGCCGTCGCCGCGTTGAATTGGCTCACCGGCCTTGGGCCCACCCCAAGAGGTTCGCATAACAGCTCCCAGGGGCCCGTATAACACGTCAGGGGGCCGTATAGCACCTCCCTTGGGCCCCAGGTCCACCCCAGAAGAAGCGTAAAAACACGTCTCCTCCCACTCCCTCCTCCTCCTCTTCCTCCACCTCCTCCTCCTCCTCCTCCTCATCCTCCTCCTCCTCCTCCTCTTTCTCCCCCTCCTCCCCCCAATCTTCATCCGCCTCCTCCTCCTCCTCCTCCTCCTCTTTCTCCCCCTCCTCCCCCCAATCTTCCTCCGCCTCCTCCTCCTCCTCCGCCTCCTCGGCCTCCTTGTCTCCCTGGTTGCCCCCCCCTCGCGCTCCCCCGAACCCATGCACCCCCTCCCCCGCCCTCCTCCACCTCGTCCTTCCTCTCCGCCCGCCCTCGCCCCAATACGCGGCCGATACGTGGCCAGAATTAGGAGGACTGTGAGGGGGGTGCGTGAATGGAGAAGGGGGAGGAGGATGAGGAGGAGAAGGAGAAGGAGGAGGCGGAGGACGAGGAGGAGGAGGAGGAGGATAATGAGGAGGAGCAAGAGAAGCAGCAGGATGAGGAGGGCGAGCATGTCATGCCGCATTCACCTCGAATGCCACCTGCCGCCCCCAGATCAATGAAGCCCCGCACGCGTGGGCGCGTGGACACCACGCCCTTGTCTGGTAGAAATCGTTGTTGTCTGGTGATGCATGGTATGGATCGCTACCGTCTGGTAGGGTTCCCTACGGTCGCTACTGTCTGGTGACACTACTGTCTGGTAGGGTACGCTACTGCCTGGTAGGGTACGCTACTGTCTGGTAGGCTTCGCTATTGTCTGGTAGGATTCGCGACTGTCTGGTAGGGTTCGCTAAGACCGCCCCACTGCGAACGGCGAGCGGAGCGCGGAAGACGAAACGCCGCATCTACCCAGCCCCAAGGCCCTAGATCGCATCCCAAGGCGGCCCCATATGACTCCAACAGGCTCACCGCTCTCCCACCACGCGAAGACCTCCCCCCCCCTCCCCCCAGATGGGAGGTGGGAGGAGATCAGTTGGGAAGAGGGCGTGCTCCAAGACGGCCCGAGTTGACCTATCGCAGGCCTTGGGCGCATCCCAAGACGGCCCCAGATGACTCCAACAGGACCACCGCTCCCCCACCACGCGAAGGCTTCCCCCTTCCTCCCCAAAAGGAGGTGGGAGGAGGTAAGTTGGGAAGAGGGCGTGCTCCAAGACGGCCCGAATTGACCTATCGTAGGCCTTGGGCGCATCCCAAGACGGCCCCAAATGACTCCAACAGGTTCACCGGCCCTGGGCCCAACCCGAGAGGTTCGCATAAGAGCCCCCATGGGCCCGTATAATACCTCCCCTGGGCCCGAGGTTCACCTCGGAGGAGGCGTAAAAAATACTGAATCCTCAGTGTTCTCCACTGGCCCCATTGCCTCCACCGAGTCTCCTTGTTCTCCACTGAGGCCCCTGGGGCGCTCCACAGACGACGGACGACGACGCCGCCCACACGGAAAGGCAGCAGTTGGAGGAGGAGGAGGATGAAGAAGAAAAGCTGCAAAAGAAAAGGATGGGAAGAAAAGGATACCAATACGCAGCTCAAGACGGAACTCAAGACAGAGCCCCAAAACGGCCTACATATTGGACCAATACATAACGTATCAATCCTGTACGTATCAATCCGGCACGTCTTGCGTATCCAATACGGCCGTATCATGGCAGCTGAGGGCAGCACGCTTCCTCTCCATTCATCGACGTCCACAAACCAAGTCCTTCCCCAGCATCATTTGTTGCTTCGGGGGGGGGCCCGCGCAAAACTCATGGCTCGAGGCACGTGCGCGGACGAGGGGGGGACCAGGGCATGGACTGCAAGACGAACAGGAAGTCATAGAATCTGGGAAGATACCATGGGGATCTTGGACGAAAAATGAAGAACTACAAGAAATATACATCAAATGGCAAACAAATACTCAACACATCGTCCCCATACGATTGTTTGACTATTTTTGAAAGTTGCCCCTGTAGAGGGACAGGCCCGACTTGACCCCAGCTTTGATCCCCTCCCTGCGGTCGGGTTTTTTGTTGCATGGCGTGTCGCCGCGGCAGCCCCGACGACACGCTGTGCCCTGCGCGCGGATGGCGTGTCGCGCCGCTCCGCGGGGCGGGAGGCTGGGAAACACTCGAGGCGTTAACGCTCGGGGACACCGTGGTGGGCCAGAACCAGCGCAGCGACACGCCACCCAAAAGTTCCCTTCCTCGTCATCACCTCCCTCTTGGTAGCCCCCGACTTTTCTTGGATGCGCTCCTTCCCCGGGGACCTTCTCGGCAAGCACACCTCGCTCGGGGCTTCCAGGGGCGCCAGAGTCGCTCCGAACGGCCCCCAGACGACACTCTCTGACCCGGCTTGTGGCCGAAGAGCCCGGACCTTTTTTTTCGTCTGGCTCTAAGAAAGAGGCTTTTTTTTTTTTTTTTCCTGGACTCAGGGACGCTTACTTGCATGGCAGTTCCTCCCGCCCTCACCCCTCCCCTGCCTTTTCAAACAAGGCAAGGCCGAAAAGGAGGCATGCTAGTCAATCCCGACTTGCGTGAAGTCCAAATGTGCTTTCGGGACTCGCCACGCACCCCCGCCCCCACCCCGTTCCATGCAAGCGAACTCGCCACAATCGAGTGAAAAAACAACTGCCTCAAACGGCGGCCAATCTTCCGGATTTTGGAACCTCCAGGAGTCTGTTTCGCGTGTCGGACCCAGGGACAGACCAAAGCAGACACCGATGCGCAATCCGTGAGAACGACGGTGTTGACAGCCCCAGAGGTCAAACGATCGAACACATCAGATCAGGCCGTCGGAGGTATGGGAGTGCATTCAGCTGCCGATAGGATCTGGGATCGAACCCATTCGACTGCTGACGGGGCCTAGTAATTCTCACCACCGTGCGGGAACTGCGCACTTTCTGCCGGCAATCCGGCGTTTGAGTGGGCAAAGGATGTGCCCCAACGGATACCCACGGGATGTCCTCTCGCGCAGATTTGCAGGCTTCGACGTGGTCAGACCCAGAAATCCAGAGGACGTCGGCAGTTGTGCTGAGACGACTGTTGGAGCGAAGGGCACGTATATACACACTAGAACCATCGCGCGCGCTTCGCGCGCGCGCGTAGATTCTAGCTGGTCGAGTGCTGACCGCATTGAGACACCTTAGCGGTCATGAGTAAAATAAATCAACATTCTCTGTTTCATCCTGCCTCTTCCTCATTCCTCCTCTTCCGCTCTCATCGGCCAGTCAAAAGGTGATCTGTCGCCAAGCTTCCCGGGGACTCTTGACCCCTCCTGCGGGTCTCCTGCAGGAGACCCCCAGGAGGGTCAAGAGTCCCGAGATCTTCGCCCCAAGGGGCGAAGATCTCGGGTTCTCGGTTCATGTTCCCGATAATGGCCTTCGGCCCATCCCGCCACCGTGCCTGGGTTGTGGGTTAGAGGCCTCTCGGAAGCTCGTTTGGAATTCGTGAGAGGCTTCCCGGGGGCCTCTTGAAGGAATTGTTGGAAGCCTCTTGGGGGCCGCTTGGGGTGCTCGTGGGGCGTCTTTGTGGGTCCCTTTGGGGCCTCGTGGGGGCCTCTAGGGGGTTCTTGGGCTCTGATGGGGCCTCTTGGGGCCTCCAGGAGGCCTCTTGGGGCGGAAGTCTCGAATTCTCGGTTATTGTTCCCTCTCTTGGGCCCCTCTTAGGGCCGTCTTGGGGCCCTCTTGGGCGATCTTGGGCCCCTCTTGGGCCGTCTTGGGGCCGTCTTGGGGCTCCCTTGCGCCGTCGTGGCGCCCTCCTTGGGTGCCTGTTTGGCAGTCTTGGGCTGATTTCTGGAGCCTCGTGGGCTGTCTTGGACCGTCGGAAGCACGAAACAGCGAGAACACGAAAAACCTTCAAACACCATAGAAAAACATACTTCTTTCGTCTCCTGAGTGCCTCGAGGGAGTCCTTTAGAGAGCAGCTTGGCCGTCTTGAAGCCCTCTTCGGCTGTCTCCAAGCCATATTGGACCAATGTTGAAACGCTCCTGTGCGGTCTTCGGCTCTCTTGGAGCGCTGTTGGGCCATCTTGGCGCCCTCTTGGACGTCTCTGGGCCCCCTTTGACGTTGTTTGGCGCCACCCGCCGGGCGTGGCAAACTGAGCATCGTTTAACCGATCCCTATCCCCACTGGCGTGGCCTGGGCCCTGCTGGTCAGTTCAAGTAAGCCGAATCACCAGGAACGGTCCCAGACTACCGAAACGCATACTGTTACTACGTGAAGGAGCGTGGCTGCGGAGCACTTGGGGAATCAATGGAACTCGTGTCAAGGAGCCCGCACCTGCAAATCTGCAGAAACACAGCCGTACCTTTTCCCTGCGACTAGCATTGCTCCTCCGAGCCCGCGGGTCGCGCGCTACGCACTCCCCGACCGACGGCTCGAGGAGCAGCAGGAGGAGGCAAACTGAGCATCGTTTAACCGATCCCTATCCCCATTGGCGTGGCCTGGGCCCTGCTGGTCGATTTACCCCATAGATGCAGATGCAAGTCAACATTATCTGTTTCCTCCTGCCTCTTCCTCATTTCTCCTCCTCCTCCGCTCTCATCGACCGGTCGACCGGTGATCGGTCGCCAAGCTATGGGCCAGGAAAAATGCAGCGCTACAGCGCCATGCTGCACTATGCTATGGAATGCCATGATGCATCATGCTACGCTAGAAAGCACAATGCCACTATGCAGTATGCATTGCAATATCATGAGATACCCTACAGTGCGCATTGCATGCCATGCCATGCTGTGCTGTGACATGCTATGGTAATATATGGGATGATACGCTGAGCCATATCATGCTAGGTTTCCTACGAAGAACCGGAGACCGATGCTACCACGTTATATGGTATGCAGAGGCACGGCATACCGTGCTATGCAATGCAATGAAATGCTATGGCATGTTATGAGCTGCTAGGCTAAAGTAAACAGGACGACAGTAAGAGCAACAATGGGGGTGTGATAGTTGCATGAACTCTGTTTACTCTTGCGAAGAGCAGTACGATGCTGTTCGGTTAATGTATGCTCATTGGAATACCATGGTACGCCACGATGTGTCATGACATGCAATGCCATGCTAGGCAATGTTACGTCGTGACGTGCAGTGCTAGGCTCAGCTAGACACTGCTATGCAATGCAATGCTATGGCATGCTGAGTCATACTGTGGTATGCACTGGCACGGTTAGCTCTGTCGTGCTTTGCCGTGCCATGTAACGTCATGCAACGCTGCGATGCAACGATAGGCTAGGCGGTCCTTTGCTATGTACCGGTATGTTTGGGAGGTCTCTTGGGAGCCGTTTGAGATGCTCTTGGGGCCTCTTTAGGGCCTCTTTGGGGTCTCGTGAAGCATCTAGCGGGCCTCTGGGGGGCCTCTTGGGCTCTGTTGGGTGCCTCTTCGGGCCTCCTGGAGGCCACTTGGGGCCGAAGGCTCGAATTGTCGGTTCGTGTTCTCCCTCTTGGGCCCCTCTGGGGGCCGTCTTTGGGCCCTCTTGGGCGATCTTGGGCGCCTCGTGGGCCGTCTTGGGGCGGGCGCTCTTGGGCCGTCTTGGGGCTCTCTTGCGCCGTCGTGGCGCCCTCTTTGGGTGCCTCTTGGGCCGTGTTGAACTGATTTCTGGGGCCTCGTGGGCTGTCTTGGACCGTCGGAAGCACGAAACAGCGATAACACGAATGAGGCCTCAAAAACCTATGAGGCGTCTTGGAGGCCTCGTGTTGGCTGCTTAGGGGCCTCTTGGGGGTCTCGGGGGTCCTCATGGGGCGTGGGGCTGGCAATTCCAATTGGATTGCCTCATCTTGGGCTCCTCTAGGAGCCCTCTGGGAGGCCGTTGGGGCCGTCTTGGGTGCCTCTGGGACCGGCCTGGGACCTTGTTGGGCCGTCTTGGCACCCTCTGGGGGGCCTCTTGGGCCGTGTAGGGACGATCTTAGGGGCCCCTGAGGTCGTCAAGGATGGTGCGAAGACGAAAAGCACGAATACGGTAAAAATGCACGTTTTACTAATGGAATGGGGCTATTGTTTGCCTGTCGGGGCCCTCGTAGGGGGGCAAATTGCGCGGGTTAAGAGGCGTCTTCGAAGCCTCTGGGGCCGTTGGAGACGTCCCGTGATCCGTCGAAGCCGTCTTCAGGGTGGTGGGCGGCTGGCTGGGGCCTCCGAGATGCTCATCGGACCGCGCTCCGAGGCGATTTTGGGCCCCCCAAGGTCCGGCCGGGCCCCCTGCACCGACATTTGCGGTCGAGGTTCCGGCCCTCGGCCCCCGAGCCCGGTGCGCCGTTATATGTATAGACCAGTGCCCCTGCTTTGCGCTGCGCCGACGCGCGGGTCAAGCACGGATGCAGGCTTGGCCGCCTCCGATGCGCGTAAACTAGCGCGCTACTCGCGCTACAAGGAGCGTTATCACATTAAAACCAGATTCGGGCACGCGACATGCGCGAGAAGAAACGAGTGGCCGGCTCCATCAAAGAGGTTCGCACTGCAATTATGCGAAAAACTTACAATGCAAAAGGCTACATGATGGAAATCGCTCCTAACCAGACGGGGCACCAACAAACTGGCTAGTAGACGCCAAAGACACCACCCTCGCCGCGCAAAACCCGTCACACCATTACAACATCCCCCCATACCCTCTCTTCCATCGCCTCCCTTCGTCCCCGTTGTCCTCCTACTTCTCTTTCATCTTGTGCCCCCGTCCTCCTCCCATCTCCTTCTCCTCTTCCTCCTTGTCATGTTCCTTCTCCACCCCCGTTCGTCGTCGTCGTCGTCCTCCTCGTCCTCCTCCACCTCATCCGTTCCCCTTCCTCCCTGGAAGCAAGCAGCACTTCTTGGGACACAGTGAACGATTATAACGTCATGAAGCCAAACACCTCTGCAGGGACACATTCCAAACTATGTCGACAATCTCTTTCCCCTCCCTCTCCTGATCATCCTCCTCCTGCCCCATCGCTCCCCTTCCCCATTCACCCCTATTCCCTTCTACTCATCCCTGTTCTTGTGTTGTTTCCACCGACTGAAGGCGACGGCCCTGATTGTCCTATCCTCGTCCCAGGGGGGAGGGTGAGGAGGATGAGGAGGAGGTGGCGGAGGAGGAGGAGGAGAGAAGAGGAGCAGGGCTAAGAGCAGGAGGCGGAAGAGGAAGAGGAGGAGGAGGAGGAGGAGGAGGAGGGGGAGAAGGAGGAGGACGAGGAGGAGGGGCGAGCGGAGAGGACCGAGACGGGGGACTGGAAGGAAGTGGAGGAAGCTGGGGTCGGAGAGGCGGAGGAAGATGAGGGCGGGGAGGCAGGCTGCGGACGAGGACGGAGGAGGCGAGGGAGCATGGGGGAGGGGAGCCAGGCAGTTGCAGCTGCTGCGGAGGATGAGGGAAAGGAAGGCGGGGGGGGGAGACGTGAGGGCTAGGATGGTGAGCCCGAGAGAAGAGGGGGCGGATGGCGGTCCATTCCCTCCTTGCGATCCACCTGGATTGCTGCAAACTTACAGAACTCCAGAAGACATTCAACAAACACCAATCGCCCTGCCTCTCACTCCGTAGATCGGGGGGAAGTCGCTTAGATATCGACGGGGAGCAAAAGAGTCCTGGGGGGTCCCAGAAAGGATGGAAGGGGCCACATCCTGCCCCTGCCTCTCCTCGTCCTCAACCCCCTCCCTCCTTCTCGTCTTGCCGATGCCATGGGTCCATCTGAGGGCCCGAGCACCATCCTTCCTCCTCGTCTGCCCTCCCTCCTTATCCCTCCTCCTTCTACTCTCTCTTTCCTCCCCCTCCTTCCCCCGTCTCCATCTTTTTCTTCATTCCTCTCCCTCTTCCCACCTCCGTTATCCCCCACCCTCCTCTGTCCTCTGTCCTCCCTCTTTCCTGATCCTCCTCCTCCTCCTCCTCCACCTCCTCCTTCTCCTTCCTCCCTCCTCCTCCTCCTCCTCCCTCGTTTCTTCTCCTCGGCCCCCTTGTTCGTTCCATCCTTGAGCTCCTCCTGCCCACCTCCCCACTCCCTCCCATCCTCCACCCCCCTGCCCCACGGGACTCCCCCGCGCCGCGCGCGCAGAAAGGCTGGGGCTGCGCAGAGCGGCCGCTGTACTTTGAGCGGCGGGCGCCCGTGCTCTCTCGCACCCGCGGGAAGGCCTCGTGCCAGCGGGCCAGCGGGGCCCGCCCCTCCTCCCCCCTCTCGCGGGCCTAGAGGTTGACACCAACACCAAGATCGGCGGCGTGCATCCACCGAGGGAAGACGATCCCGATCTCGGTGGTGGTGGTAACATTCTGGCTTCCAATGCGACCGACACATTACCGCCAACGCCGAAAGCTAGGATCATCTTTCCCATGTGGAGGCAAACCCCTGTGCTGGTGTTGGTGCCAATTTCCAGTCCTCCAACCCTCCCTCCTCCTCCCCCCCCCCCCTTCCCAGGTGGCTTCGCAGCGTGGCCCCGCGCGCGGAGCCGTTTTGCACCTGCGACGAGCGCCCGCGCCCGCGCCCGCGATTGCGCAAGCCCCTGGCGCCCCTGGGCGCGACGGACCCGGAGAGGTCCGGATCCCCGGCGTGGCACCGCCGCCGGAGACGGCAGCGGGTCGCCGCCGGCAGCGGGATCGTCAGCGGGACGCCTTCGAGAGCAGCGGGATCGTCAACTGCTTCTCCGGCATCACGAGACATGGCTCCAAAGCCTCGTACTCACTCGCCTTCGGCGACTACATGGCGCTGCGAATGTGGCCACATCAACTGGATGACAGCACCCGCATGCTACCAGTGCCTTCAGCAAGAGGCACCAGGCCAGGCAAGTGGATTCGTACGACAGCCCTGGCGCAGGCAGCAGTCACCGTATCCTCGTCGCGGCCAGGACCGTTCAAGACAGCGCGATCGATCCGAGCCACGGCTACGACAGGGTGCGTCCCCAGCCACAGGTACGTCACCTGCCCGCGAACGACTTCCTCCTCGAGACCGACCGCTGCCGAGGTCGAAGTGATCGACAGCGGGGACACCCTTCCGATCAACTCCGCCAAGGTGCTGCTGAGCCTGCGTGCCATGCCGCCGTTGACGGCGAGGAGCCATCCGTCATGGAACCCTCCGCCGCCCGACCAACCGTCCGAAGAGGACAAGGAGAAGTACCGCAGTCGTGTGGCATCACAGCTATAAGCTCTGGAGACGCTCATCATCGAGAATCATCGTCGCGGCCAAGACGTCAGCCACCACACCGAGGAGTACTGCTTGGCACTGGCCATGATGCATGGTACAAGAGGGCCCTCTGTACAGCTGACGCGCCAGGAGGATACTATCGCCAGGGCCGAGAAGCGCATCCAGACTACAGGGTCCGAGCTCGAGAAGGCCCAGGAACGTGTGGCAACGCCGACACATAATCTCACCCGCCAGCAGCGAGATCACGAGTACATGAAGCAAACAGAGGCCGAGCTGCACACCATCCTCGCGCATCGCTGCCTTGCCACACCGCCTGCGGCCCAGGCAGACGCTGCTATGGCAAAACCAGCCGCAGGCCCCTCTGGTGGTACCGCTGGTGCCTCGCCATCGGCGAAGTGGCAAGCCGATATACCTGGTCTGGCGGAGCTGCGGCGTTCACAACGGGTGCTCGCACAGAACATCATGGGTCTGTCCGCCAACTTCCAGACGCTCTTGAGCTACACCTCTGCTCAGGCCGCTCCAGGTGCGATGGGTGCAGCATCCGTCGACTCGGCGCTGGCGGACAAGGCCTCGGCTTCCGCAACTCAGGAAGGGGGATTTCCCATGCCAGCGCCGCCGGCGCAGCAGAACCCGTCACTACTACTACTCAGCAGCAGGCCCAGAAAGCGTATCTACAGCAACAAGCAGCTCAAGGGTACGGTGTTGTAGCGAACCAGCATCAGGAGCGATGCCGCAGCGACGGGGCTAGAGCGCCCCCCAACTTCGGAAACTTCACCTCTTCCTCCCCAGCCTCACTTGATGCAATGTCGATGATCCCCAGAACATGTGTTGGCGCCAACGTGTGTTTGTCCATCGAGACCCTTCGAGATGACGCAGGCGATGTAATGCTCTACCGGCTGGTCTAAACGGGATAAACACGTTTGGGCTACAGTCGAGGTACTACCAGAAGGCACGCCAAATAAGCAACAAAGGTTTTTTTTTTGCCACGGTTGGCCTAGGCCACAAGCAAATCCCGCGACATAAATCTAAGAAGCAACCAAAATCCCCGAGCCCCTTCCGAACCCAAAGCGGTCCTTATTTCAGCGTCTTGGCTGCAACACACGGCCTGAAGCTCATCGACGATGGTGGCGCCGAGATCCGCGTCTCGGGCAACCTCGCGGGCACCGCCGAGGCCGTCCCCCTCCCAGGGGAGGCCACGCATGGACACCGACCACGAGGGGAGCCCGTGGGCGGCGGAGCGACCTCCCAGGGGTGGCGAGGGGTGCCCAGTCTCCTGGGAGACCCCGCTCTTCCTGATGGGCTGCCGCCCGACTGTCCGCCCCCCAGCTCGCCTCATGTAGCCTTCCCCTGTCCTGGCTGTCCACGCAGCTGCAGCTGAGATGCCAGAACCATGGCCCTTCTTCCAAGGAGCTGTCCTGCCTCAGGTTTTGTGGGAGTGTCTGCGCCCCTCCACCCAGGAGGCACTACGCAGCCTGGCTGAGGCCAGGGATTTTGAAACACCTACTCGTATACATATCTATACGGATTGATTGATTGATTGATTGATTGATCGATCGATTGATTGATTGGGCAGCTGATGGCGGCAACTGTGGCTCTGTGACTGACGACTCCAGACCTGCAGCTTGGGCTGGAAACGTTGAACGCTACGTACATCAGTGGCACATCCAAGAGGAGGGAGGGGAGGATGACGGGGGGGGGAACGAGGAAGAAAGGGAAGAGCCGAACAAGAAACAACGAGGACTCATAGCTGGTGCTTCGCGGTGGCCAGCGCCACGACCTCGTCCCACTGGGCGGCCGGTTGCCCCAGGCAGACGCGCGTACGAGGGCGCCCTCGGTGGTGTCGGTGCCGTTGGTCTTGGAGCCAGTGGCCGTCGTGCCAGAGCGCCAGTCTCGTGCTCAACTCCTGCTGGCAATGGGCCCGCTTGATAAAATCGTCCCAATCCATCCCTCGCTTGCACTCAAAAGTCGACCATCTTCCATGTTCCCGTGCCACGCGCGCGGCACGGGCGTTCCGGTGCTTAGCGAAGGACTCGGCGTCGTCGCCGGGGCACTTCCGCAGTCGCATAGCGGCTGCAATTAACCTTGTCTGCAAGCGATCGACCATTGCCAGCTGCTCCGCGCGCGGCGGCCACCGCGAGCATCGGTACGCGAAGGGTGCCAAGGACGATCGGGAAATGAGCCGGAGCTTGACCAGCAGGGGCGACTTTGAGAAAGATGGTGCCCCGGCGTTGGCAAAGAAAGCTTTCCAAACGGTTTTCTTGGTCTTCGGTATATACGGCGCCACGCTGCCATTCGCCGCGATTGTGTGGCCGAGGACCGGGAACTCATTGACAGTCTGCCAACCAAGAAACTGCGTCTCGCCAGCCTGGCAACCTGCCACGGGCATCACGAGTTTGGAGGACGGCTTGATCCTCTGCCCCCACTTGGTCTGCAGCTGCTGTTCGGCATCCTCGAGAATGCGGACAGCTCCTTCTGGCGTGTTGCTGCAAGCGAACAGATTGTTAATGTGCGATGCAGCCCTGAGGCGCGACTCGTCGCAGCGGAACCCCCAGGTCTCCCATGACTCCACCCTGTCATCATCACCTCTTCCACCGGGATCCGGGCAAGCATCAAAGCGGTTCGGCTTCCTGTCAGTCCCCCTCTGGACCGGTTCGCGATGGGCACAGCGCTGCCGCCGGCGAGGATCACGCGGGGCATCATCTGAGCACGCACTAAACACGCCACGTCCTCGGGAGGACAACCCCTGGTTACCAGCCACCTGCAGATCTGGAGTACCCTCAGCTCGTCAACGTAAGTCTGGACGTCGCACAGGGCAAGAGCAGCGCTGCTGTAATCGTCGAGGCCCTTCTCGACGACCAGCCTGCGTGCGCGTGCGATGTCTAAAGCCTGCGTGCGGGGCCGAGCGCCGACAAAGATCCCGAACTGCTGAGGGATCAACCGGTCCACCGCTTTGTTCCAGTACTTGGGAAGCCCCTACACCTACGGTATCCGCTCTCCCCCTCCTCCGCTATGGCTGCGATCTAGCGCACTGATGGCCAGTTAGCTATTTGCGGATTCCAAGAAGATGATCTCAAGGACTTGGCCAGTGATGAGCAGCTTTGCCACGTTGCTGAGTACTTGGCAGTAGCATGCGCAATATCGCTCGTGCATCACATGCTAGAAGCTGCCAAAGTGCCCGTGGAGTTCCACAGTGGCAACCTCCCCGCAGTCAACATGATGTTTACCTTGAGCAGTACCCCAGCTACTAAACCTATACCCCACATCTTAAACACAAAAAATGTTCACGTGGTTGATGATTATGAGCGAAAGGTCCGGGAACGGCACGATCGAGCACGCCGCGGGAACCGTCTACATGAATGTATTGGCGAAGCTACATGGGATGGGTTTGCTCTCTGCTCCATCCTTCCCCTTCGCGTCGCTGTTGTTCGATCTCAAACCTTTGATGTCGGGGTGGCTGCTGGCCAGCCCGCGCTGGGAACAGTCGAACTACCGTCGGATCCTGTCTAACGGAAAGCGCTGGCCCCAATGCGAAGAGGGCTCGGTTTGAGTTCATAGTCGATCTCACCTCCTACGTCATCGGGTCAACTTGAAAGGTCGGAAGTGGGGTCAAGAAGCCAGCGCGTGGACTTCTGAAACACGGAACCCAAATCCCATCGAGACGCTTCTCGTGCCACCAAAACATCGAGCGGTCAAGCCGGAAGGGGATACGAGGAGGCGTTTGCAGCTGGTTCACAGATATCTATCAACATGGCGCTAGATAGCGTGCTTGCCTTCCTTGCAAGCTGTCAAAGTTGGTACGGCGCTCTGGTCAGTACCGTTGTCAATGTCAGTGTGCGCTAAATGAAATGCAAACGGTCCCATGCGCTTGTTGGCCAACGTCTGTTAGGATCACCATCTTCCTGTCGTTGCTACGTCATAAACATGATACGCATTATTTCCCAACCGTTTGCTGAATGACAAGCACTCTGCATGCGCCAACATGGTGGCGAGAAGCCGGCCTCGCACACAATTGACCCAACTACATAAACAATACCCACATGCAGCACTG